AAGCCTGTGGGCCCAGTGTTGTCATGGGACAGCTTTGGACAATACTTTGGACAATCTTGAACAATCTTGGACAATTAAATAAAGTAAAATTACTTAAAATTTTATTAAGATAACCTATTTTAATTTTAATTGAAATGAATTCAGCATCTAAAAAAATATATAGTTATATATTTTTTAGATAAATTTATTAATTATTAAAGCCTAGACAAGCTTTGGACAATCTTGGACACTTGGACAATTTTGGATATGGACAAGTTAAAAAAGAACATGGACAGCCAAAATGTACAACACTACATGCAAAGGCCCAATCATTAGGACAATATGCATTATTTGCTCTGGTATTTCAGAAGAATTATTAAACTTAATGTGATAGTTAATAGCACACTATACATGAAGTTGCCTGGGATAATCCATAGGTGCTACAAATATATACGTTTCTAAATAAGTTCTTACTTCTGGAACATCTATAAGATGTTTAAGCACATTAATATATTCTAAAGTCAAATGAAGAGATTCTTTCTTTAAATTTACTAGTTTCGTATTTTTTATACTTTGATCAGTCTGACATTGTTTAATTTTATCATTATAGCTGTGAATTAAGAGGTGCTTGACTTGTTTATCATGGCTTGGCACAGAAACCAGATTATTGAATGATTGTCTTCAATCTGTATAACTGAGCCATAAATAAGGAAAAAATAATACGTGAGTATTTGGTATAATATTTGCATCTATACCTCTCTCATTATGAAGACTTTTTTCTTAACAAAATGGAATAGACATTATTTCTAGCAAAGCTTTTAGGAATATAGTGGCAAAATGGGCAAAGTTATGCATAGACATTGTGTCACTACAATAAAACTCATGACAATTATAAAAATTGTCTACATTAGGAATAACCAAGTTGTCAATCTACAGAAAGATTTTATATTAGTTATTTTTTGTATTAAAAAATAAAATTAAATTAAATAAATTAAATTAAATTAAATATATTAAATTAAATAAAATAAAATAATAATAATAAAAAGATAAAATAGAATAAAAAAAAAACTTATATATATTTTCTAGTAAAAATTCACCCACTTTTGTAGTATGCATTTTCACATATTGGATCTTATGTCTTCCAATTATTTTACATCTTACTATTACACCCACATTGGCTAAAGTTTTAATTGTTGAAAAAGATGTGTCTGCTGTATCTAATAAAAACCCAACCTCTGATTTAACTCTATTAATAAATTTATTATTAAGTCCTGATAAAAAATAGCAAAACAAAACTTATCTTTTTTTTATTTTTTTTCATTGGTTATATGGCTTTTTGTTTGCAGATTAGTTCCAGCAACCAGTTGATCAAAAAAGCCTTTAAAGATAGCTTAGATTCTTCAAGCATTTTCTTGAATTTTTTCAGATCAAGAATAGACCTTTCATTATATGAATGCTGTCTTGTATATAATACCCCTGCTATTAATTTAATTTTCTTGCTAAGAGAAATTAACCCTAAAAACAGTAATTTAAATAAATTTTTAATATTTTAATTTTAATTTTTTTTTATTTTTAAATTTAAATATAATTTTCTTACCCAACTTTGCTTTATTAAGTTCTGTACAAACTTTATGATATGCAGATTTCAACTCCTGAAATTGAGATTGAGAATAAATAATATCTCTTTGTAAAACATATGACCTATCTTGAAATTTTCTAATCTCATTTTTCAGAATTTTTTCTATTAGCAATTGATAGTTAGGTGAATTAATATATTCTAGATTATCATCAGTCTTGTATAAGCAATAATGACACATCATTGCCTCTTGTGGTAGTTCAAAGAAATTAACTAAACATTCTGAAGTCTTCTTTATACTTTTCGCTTTTGATCTGTAGAAATATAAAATTGGTTTTGAATAAGAACATACAGTACTTGTTTTAACTTTTTTAGCATTTACAATCAATTTATTGTAATGCTTTCTGCACAAAGTTTTTCCAACCAAATCAAGATGTTGACTAGAACTTGGTATTAGCACTTGATCAGACACAATATAAGCCCCATGCTACTCATAATCACAGATGACATTCTTTTGGCCTTCTAGATCACAGTATTGGGTCTTTCTTTTTCTTTTTTCTTGGTTGGAAAAGGTTGATTATTTGTAAAAAGCTTGCTATGCAGACATTCTTGCTTAAATTCTTTTTTTCTTAATTATGCCTATGATAAAAATGCAAAACAAACGCTTCTTAGCTAACTTTCCAATTACTTAACTGTTGTTCAAATTACTTTGATAGTTTATAGATCAGAAGGTATTCTTTTGATTTTTTTTGGTATCAAGTTTGGCCAATTTGTATCTGTAGTAGCCAAACCATTTTTGTAGCTGCAAAACATTATGCTACTATATAAAACATATTGTGTAATATATTGTATCAATCATCAATCAAGTAAAGCCCACTATGTTGCCAAGTGGCATGCCTATAGGCATACCCCTAAGGCATGCTCATGCCTCTGTGCCTCAAACTTTAGTGTAAATATATCAAACATGTTTAAAAAACAAACAACAATAGATGAAGTAAGCAAACAACAAATAAACAAATACCTAATGCCAGTATTAGAAAAATATAGAAATTTTTTTAATTAAAATGATAGTGAAAAATCTGCACTATATAACAAACAAAAGGCAACTACCTTAAAAAAAGATAGCAAAATAACAAACTATCTAGACACAAATAATTTTCACTTAATAGCAATAATTTACAATATAATGTATATTTATGACTAGGCCCAATATAAAAAAACAAGAAAGCTTAAATTATCTGAAAAGAAAAAATTTTAATTGATAAAAACATGAATTTGTACAAGCCATAAAATAATAGCAGCATATCTAGAGCAAAAATATTGGCTTTAGAGTTAAACATAGAACAACAAATTGTAAAGATTAAATCAACTTCTATGGAAGTTACTTTAACACACATATGTGATCAAACTAATAAGGGCAAGAGTACAAATAGCATTAGTTCAACCTCTATAGAAATTACTTATATACAAATAAACAAAGCTTCAAATAAAGATAGTATATATATATTATATATACTATATTTAAATATCTTTTAACCAATTTGACCAATACTAAACCCTTTAACCAACTGGTCAAATTGGTCAAACTAGTCTGATCAAGCTTGACTATTGACTGATTTATGCCAACCCTAATTAATATAGTAAAATCTTAGTTAGTAACAAAAGTGAGGCTATATAGGTGAAGGAAGAAGCACTACTGGCAAGTGTATTAGAAACCTATCAGCAGCAAATACAAGTTTAAGAAAAATTGATTGCAGATAAAGTATTAATTAGTATTTCTATAAACCTGAACTGAACTAACTTTGGTCAAGTTTAGGTTCAGGTTTAGTTCAATTATATTCAATATTTAACTTTTAAGTCAAGTTCAAATTCAGTATTAAACTTTTAAATCAGGTTCATGTTCAGTTCAGGTTCATTGGACATAAACTGAACTGAACTAAACTAAACCTAGAAACCCTACTTTTACTGTTTGTTGATATATTTAGATATCATAGAATTGGTTAATTAATAACTATTAAGAGTGAATTTGAAAGCAATTTTTTTAAAAAATAGTCTTTTAAACCTACTTTTGGCTTATAATAAAACATGTAAATTCCATAATTTTCTACATGTTTAATTAGAAGTACAAAGTTTGTTAAAAAGGCTGTTTTTACAAAAAATTTGCTTTGTAAAAATTTTAAGTGTAAAATTTTTTGAAAATTCTCAATTATGATTTGTTGATTTTGGGGTCAAAATTAACATATTCAAAAAAAAAAACTTTCATAAGTACAGTTAATCCTCTATAAGTGCACTTTTCTCCGAAACTCTATAAGTACACACCATTTGATCGATCGAATTAATTTGTGCATGTTCTACAAGTGCACTTTCCTTTAACAACGTATGCTTATAGAGGGTTGACCGTAAAATAACTCGGGTTTATAAGACTTGTTCTTCTATATGGCCATGTAAAATAATCTGAACAAATTACTCACGAGTATAAATCTACTTTTCAATCGTAAACTAAAAATAGGGTAAAGATCTTGTAAGTTTATGTTGTTAAGTGGGTTAAATCTTACAACTCGGTGCAAAGTAAAAGTTTACCGGTAACTTAGTTCTTAGTCGAAATTTTAAAAATTTACCTACTATAGATTATGAAACAAAAGGGCATCTTTGAAGGCATGATTCTTTTCGAGTTATTATTTTTTTTACTCTTAAAAACATGATAAAGTATTTGTAATGCCGAACTGCTCACGTTGTCCAGAGCGCAGTTTTTTTTAGCTCCGCGGTCATATATTAATACCGATATGTATAAGATAAGCTTATCTATGATGATCTTACCAAAGTTAAAATTTGAGAACATACTTGGGCTTAGTAACCAAATTCATTATGATTTTGCCGTAGTATTAATTGATTATGTCATTTTGAATTTTTTTTGTGGACATTATATTGCTTTACGGGATAGCGATAGAACTTATTCCGGAACTTAATCCAATCATATATCACTTTGAGTACAGTATAGGTAACAAATTTTTCTTGGCAACACTCATCACATTTGAAATTGATTTTAATAATTTATTTAATCAGTATAAAGATCCAGATTCTGTGGGAGAAAGCCCGAATATACAATATGGTTAATTTTTCTGTCCAAGTAGTTCCGAAAAAAAGTAAAAATGAATTGGAATCTGATTTAGAATTCTTTTCACCCCTAACGCTAATCATCCAATTTTCCAACATGATTAAATGTGATCAACTCATGTTCGGCATCATCCTTTAATTTTACCGTATAATATATATAGATATGTGTATGTTATATAGTATATACTAATATGTATTAGTATTTTATTCGTTAAGTTCACTATTTTTAGAAATATATGATGTAATCATGTGTATCAGGTGATTGAATGACAAAGTATAAATACGATCATAAACGTACGTACAATTAAATATTATTATTTTTTTTTAAACAATGTCGTTTTTAAAACATTTTAGCGGTAAAGAAGTAAAATACGGTTATGCTATAGGTTGGTTTTCAAATTAGATCTTTTATTAAAATAATAATAACAAACCATTTAATATCATATTTTATTTTTTTTCAGGAAGCGTTTCAGATAATAATTCTCGTGTAGTAAAACCACCAAAATTATCAAAAATTCGGTTAACTCCATCACAAACAAAATTTATATTTTATGGAACAAGAGGTGATATCCTAAAATGGATGGAAGAAAATTCATTTATGATTGTAGAATATGATGATACTTCTGAAGATGTATTCTCACCTCCTTCATCTCCTCGAACACCAGTTCCTTCACCAACATCATCATCATTCTCTGGTCATTCTTCTGAATTACATAAAATAACCTTTGATCTATTTGGTCAACAAATTCAAAATTCTCCAATAATGACAGATAGTACAGCTTTTTATCGACCTTTACATTTCGCAATGAATCATTTACCATGGTTAGAAGTAATATTAGAAATTCGACCTTCAGATCCAGTAAAAGATTTAAAATATGATCCCGTAAAGCGTGTAATCTTAAATTCCGGTATAACCCTTGGCGAAGCTGCAAAAGCATTAGAGAAAAGTTGGAAAAGTATTTTACCTGATAATTGTCCGATAAGAAATAGTTTATCTTCAACATCAGATAGCGAAAATTGGAGAGGTATTTTATCTGATATGAGAAAATCTAAATCAGATTCAACTTCAGATAACGAAGAATTAACTGAAATTGAATTTCAACAAAAATATAAATTTTTAGAGTGGTTGCCAAAAGCTAATGTTGACGGAAAAAAGTTTCCCATTGCCGAAATGCCATGGATTAAACATCGTGATAAATCACCCGAATTAATACCAGCAGGTATATTGCATCCCTATAATATGGAAGAAGCTTTAAGTCTTATGGATCATACTAAAAAAGATGATAATAGTGCAAAAATTACGAAAGAACAAGAAGCTGAAAAAGATAAGGAGAAATTGGTGGCTGATTTACCATTGTATGAGAGCGTATCTAGTGATGTATTGTTAGAACGAGGTCCAACTATGAAAAGACCTATTTTCTATGATAACGATATGTAAAGTTGTGAACTTTTAACTTGTAACATAAATTATTATGGATAATCATACTATTTTTTTTTTTTTTAATTTATTATTTAATGTACTTACTACATTCATTTATTAGAAAACATCATTATATTATTCATGTTGTATATAAATATAAATAAGAAAATAATCATACAATATTTAATTATTTATCGTTTGTCATAGAATGACAACGGAATAAAAGGTTTTTGGTTTATTTAATAAAGTGATAAATATCTTGTTTTGTTATTGAATTTTATTAGAACAATTGATAGTCTTGTTTTTTTTTCGTACTTTTCTTTAATTATTCGTTGTTGTACTAACCTTAATTAACTATTGATTCACTTTGAATCATTTCTATTTGAAAAGCAAAATCTAAATAATGCTTATGATGGGACAGCAAAAAAAAAAAAAAAAGGCGAGTAAATAAATATTGAACTATTATTTCTTTTATTTCTTTTTATTTGTTTAACTTTTTGTAAGCGATTATAAATCGGTTTACAAAATTTCTTGGTAATTTTTGGATAAATAACAAAGCCTAGGCTAATTAGTACATAGTTATTACATAATACCGTTTCTTAGGTTAAGATCCATTCTAAAATGAGGTACACATAGTCGAGAGAATGCTTCATGCTTCTTGTGCAGTCTTTCGTAAGTTTCTTAAAATGTATAAATTTAACTATAAAATTGACTGATCATGAGAAATTATTCTATATAGCTAAAGTTGACAATGGGCTCTAAAAAAAACATTGTTTAGCGTCTATTATGTACTTTGGTACTAAAGATCTTTTAAAGACCAGATAAAAACTTTAAAACTAGATAGTATCATATGAAGCATGTACTTCATGCGCAATTATACATATTCCGGAATGTTTTCTCCAGAATTCTGCAATACTACGTGACTTTAATGACTATATTGAAATCTAGTATATTAATCCAGATACATACTCGAGTTTTGTAAATTTCAAGAAAAAAATGAAATCGTTTTCTAAGTTCACAATTACGATTTTAATCTATTTTTTATGCCAATCTGCTATTGGTTTTCCTATCTCTCAAAAACCCAAAGTGTTAATACAACTTACTGATGGGGTTACGGTTGTGCTTACCAATCAAAATGGAGTTAATAAAGAACCATCAAATGTCTATATGACTACGGTAGAACATCCGAATATCGAAACGTCCGAAATTCAATTTCCTAAAGCTGAATTTCTCGAAATCCAAATTCCTGAAGTCAATTTTCCTTCATTCGATTCAATTTTTGAAAAAATTCGTGAATCCTTTGAGTCAGTAATTAAATTTATAACCAACAATTATATTATCATTACTATTATTTTTAGTGTTATAATGATAATTGTTATAACTTATCATTATTTCCGTTATTTCCGTTATTTCTTTTCTTACCCCATTTCATGTATCCGAGATAAAATCCTCATTAAGTTAGGATTTGATCATCATGGAATTAGAAAAAACAGTATTGCGTCCAAATGGCAGTCATCTCAGGCTAGGCAGACGTTAGAATAGTCCTAATGAATTTTATGACACATGTCTATATGTCACAATTACGCCATAAATATTATAAAATAAATTTTGATTTAAAAAATTTTTTCTAGAAATTTTTTAATAACAATATTAACCAAAAATCACACCATTTTATTATCCAATTATCCAAATTTAGAATAATAATAAACGGTTTCTTACGCAAGCTACGTAGTCGGAATTTACTAACTTAAATAGCAATTTTATAAAAAATTTTTCCGATTCATTTCCAAATGAGATTAGCAATGAATCTTTCAAATTCGGCTTATTGGTATTAATAATTCATTTATTAAAAGATCAAAGCAAGACAATATCGATATAAGTATTAAACTCAACGGCGGTTGAATTCCGAAACTTGGTTGTTCGAAATTTAATGAAAATGTTGTATATAAGTTTGTTCTTCACATGTTATGCATATATTTGATTTACAGTATACAGTATGTACGTACATACTCATAAAATGGTGTAATTAAAAATAAACTGTAGCCTGTGACAGTACAGTGTTGAAAGTTCGGCATAAACATTTTATGCAAGAAATTTTTTTTATACAGGAATGTTATTTTATTTTTTGTGCAATTGCATTGTAAATGTTAATTTTTGTGCAAAAAACAATACATGCACAACGAATTTTCAACACTGGCCTGAGATACAACAGTTTTAATATCAAAATAGTTAAAAGGTAGTACTGCCACATGTCAGCCTCTCACATACTGTAGCTAAATTAATATTGAAAATATAATAGAATTTACTTTTACATCTTTAGTGTAGATAAGTATCTATCAGAACCTCTACAGCAAAAAAGAAGCAGTACCGTATTTGCGCGTAATAACGCACATGGGCGTTATTTCGAAACTTTCATTTTTTTAAAAATTGTTTTTTTGACTCAAAATAACGCCCAAAATAACGCGGCCCCTTAAATATACCATTGATCGAATTTTTCCAGGCTAAATTCATTAATAAAAAAAGTAGGGCTTTCTCCTGCAACCCAAATTTGTCAAAATGATTCGAATTACCGCGCATGCGCGTCCCGAAATAACGCGCAGGGTCTCAAAATAACGCGCACCTGCGCGTTATTACGCGCAAATACGGTATAACAAAATTTTATAAAACTTGATTTCTATTTAATTCTTCAAGAAAAAATATTTAAAATATCCAAAAACCTTGTATAATTTAAAATTTAAGCTATTATATATAACTTTTCTATTAGTTTTAAAACTGCACTCTAACTTTAAAATTTAGCAAAAAAATTTATTTTTAAACAAAAAGTTGCAAAAACTGTTTTTGTCGATTTTAATCAATATAACGTGGCATGCACATTATTTTGATAAATTGAACATATTACAAGGAAAAAGATTTTTTTTCAAGTAAACCTATCTCCACTTACTAAGTAAAATTGTTCAACATACAATCTTTTACTTATCTTCAAATTTTGGTGCAATTTAAATAACTTTTTTATGTTCCAACACAAAAAATTGATTTACTGCGCCAAAACATATAATGAAAAAAGCAATTAGAAAAAGGTCATTCGAATTTTACTTAAAAGTTGAGGGTAAGTAAAAGACAGTATGTTGAACAATTTTACTTAGTAAGTAAAGTCATTAAAAAAAAAACTCTATTTCCTTGTAATGTCAAAAGATACCACATTTACCAAATGTTAATGATTGTCGCATTCGTCAAAATACCCACAGGGAAGTTAAAAATTGTTGTGCATAGAGATCATAATATAATTTATATAACGATAAAACATTAGTTTCTATTTTTTTATATTGTAAAGCAGATTCAAATTTATATGGTTCAAAAACAAAAAAATAAACCTTCAAGTTTTTGACAGACTTTTATTAGTAAGAAGTGGTAACTTCGTCAAAATACCCTCATTTACCTTATAGCTAGTGCAGTGTTAAAAATTTTATGTGCGCAAATTTCTTATTTTAATATTAAGCATGTAACCATCATATATCGATATATAGTATTTAACTCAAAATTAATACGGAAATACTATTATTCACTAATAAATCCTTAAATTTACTGTTTTATTGTTTATTTTATTGCAAATATATGATAATTTTTTACGAATTTAGCTGTGAGTATTATCGGTAACCCTAACTTGAATATATAATATCAATCTTCAATATGAATTATGGGATGCATATTATATTCAATATATTAAAATAATCCATGTATCCTTCCAGTTTCTGTATCCAAATCAATATCAAAGAAACATGGACGCTATTAAGTTTATAAATTAAAAATAGTATTATTTACAATAAATGTTTTAAAAAAAAGCTACAATTTTTCGATATATTAATTACTCACAGTAGGTAATCCGGGTATAGTTGGCATTTCCCCTAACAATGAATATAAAAATCCTGCTCCAATTGATGCTCGAATGTCTCGTATTGGCACTGTAAATCCTGTAGGCACACCTTTAAGTTTTGGATCATGTGAAAGAGATAAATGCGTTTTGGCCATACATATTGGTAAGTTTACAAATCCCTTATTTAAATATAAAATATAATAAAAAGTTAGGAATTAACCATCTCTTTAATGAATCCATTTAATTTCTTAATAGTGTTGTTTACCTGTTTAGTATATCTTTCAACTTTTTCAATAGCTTTCTTACTCAACTCTATTCCATCAGCTCCATACATTTCTTTTGCAATAATCTCAATTTTTTCGATAATTGGTTTGTTTATGTCATATAAAAACCTGAATTCTCGTTTCTCCGTTTTATCAGTTGTCGCTTTAATGATCGCTTTTCCCAAATCTATTGCTCCCTCCCCTCCTAACGCCCAATGTGTCGCTGGTATCGCGTCACTTGCACCCGCTTCTATTGCAATCTTACGAGTTAATTCAAGTTCAGCTTGTGTGTCAGATCTGTTTCCACCGTGATCATGATTTAAAAGTTTTTTTTTTTTTAAAAAAAAAAAAATTATAAAGACAAATTAAGTATTGAATTATAATAATGACTCACGTGAATTTATTAATGGAAACTACAACTGGCAAGCCATATTTTCTTGCGTTTTGGATGTGCTTAACAAGATTGACGCATCCTTTTTCCAATAACTCGAGATTTTCACTTAAATAAGTTTCATGTAATGGGTTTCCGAACGTAATCTACATAATAAAAGCTTTATTGTATTTCATTTAAACCAAAATATATATTTACATTACTTACTTCAGGTCCACCACCATGCATTTTCAAAGCTCTAATTGTAGAAACTATAACAACACAATCAGGTACCAACCCTGATAGCCTGCATTTGATATTAAAGAACTTTTCCATTCCAATATCAGTACCAAATCCTGCTTCTGTTATCACATAACCTTCTTCGCTTCCTTCTACTGGATTTCCTTCTGAATCACACTCAACTCCCACTAATTTTAATGCAATCTTATCTGCTAATATGGAACTATTTCCATGCGCAATATTTGCAAATGGTCCAGCATGAACAAACACGGGTGTTCCTTCTAAAGTCTGCATAAGGTTTGGTTTGATTGCATCCTTCATTAATACTGTTAATGCACCTCCTATACCAAGATCATCTGCTGTTATAGGTGTGTCTCCAGCTTTATTCGTAGCAACGACCATTCTACCTAATCTCTCCCGTAAGTCTTCAAGAGAAGTACTTAATGCAAGTACCGCCATACATTCAGAGGCCACCGAAATGTCAAAACCTGTTGATCGTGTTTGACCTTTCTCTGTTGGATTTTGACCTATAGTAATGCGCCGTAAGAATCGATCATTTGTGTCAATTACTCTTTGCCTATATTATTTTAAACATCCAATTAATAGATAGTATTGTTATTAATCTGCATGTAAATTAATAAACAAAATTTTATACAATTAACCATGTAATAGTTTCGGGATCAATGTCTAATCTAACAAACTTGCTAATTTCTTCAGGAGTTAAATCGTTGGGATCGGTTTTATCAATTCCAAGTTTTCGTAATCGTTTCAACATTACGGGGGCAAAGACACGAACACCATTTTTAGCAGTGCATAAGCGATTGAAAAGGGCCTAAATAATGGAATACATACAGTATTAAAAAAAAAAAAAAAAAAGATATATTGTTAAATTCACATATACCGTATTTTCACGAAATAACGGGCATGGGCGTCATTTAGAAAATCGTGTCCTCTAAAAATAGCATGCATGGTTTCGAAATGACGCGCACCCCACATTAAGGTTTCAACAAATAATTTGATATAACAGAAAAGAACGCCCATGCGCGTACTCTAAATAACGCGCATATACTCAAAATATCGAGCAGGTGAGCGTTATTTCGCGAAAATACGGTATTTGTTTCTTATGTTACCTTATCTGTCTGAGTATTTTCATGAAACATTCGTGCATCAATCGCAGCGGCTAAGAAAGAATTCGAATTTTGATTAAATTTAGTTGTAAACATCAATAGCAGGTAACATAAAAATAGAATTACCTAACAGATTGTTTGCTGCGGTAACAGCATGTATATCTCCCGTTAAATGTAAATTGAATTCGTCCATTGGTATCACTTGAGAATATCCACCACCCGCAGCTCCTCCTTTGATGCCAAATGTTGGTCCTTGTGAAGGTTGCCTAACACATGCAAATGAAAGTTTCCCCAAATGAGCACTCAATGCTTGTGCTATACCAAGGGTGGTTATAGATTTTCCTTCACCTAATGGTGTTGGCGTTATACTATAATTAAGTTTAATAATGTGGTTAATAGTATTAACAGCTAAACTTAATAAAAAATGAAATAACTTGTAATTTCAAAACACACCCTGTTACAATAATATATTTTCCATTTTTTCGCGATTTCAATCTTTCAATAACTGAAAGACTTACTTTGGCTTTGTATTGTCCATATAATTCAATCTAAAAAAACTGATTTAATACATAATTACGTTACGAATTAGTTCAGCATATTAAAAATCCTACTTCATTTGAAGCCAGCCCTAATTCTTTAGCCAGAACTTTAATAGATTTAGGTGTATGTGAAGTTGCGATATCGATATCGCTTTGAACAGGTACAACCCGTTTCAGTGTCAATGTGGATATCTTGCGTTCGTTACTTTCTTTCAGAAACCTTTTGGCACTTTCTACTGTGTTTTTTAATAACATTGCAACTGTCACCGGAGCTACACCACCAGGAACTGGTGTTATATAAGATGCTACTGCAGAGGCGGATGAAAATTCTACATCGCCTACCCATCGAATACCCGATTTTTTTGTGGGATCTAATAAAATAGATAAATAATCAGTCAATAAATTATATAATTATAAAGACAGAATTTTTAAATACCTTTTATCGCATTAGTTCCAACATCGATGACTACAGCACCAGGATTTATCCAATCGCCTTTTATGAATTCGGCTTTTCCAATAGCCACCACTAGGATTTCGGCTGTTTTAACCTAATATTAAAAAATTTTGATCATTGGAAATGATAATTAACATAATTAAATTTGATGTAAAAGAAGAATACATACAATCTCGGGAAGGTTGGCCGTCATGGAATGGCACAACGTAACTGTAGAATTTCTTTTCAATAATAGTGTAAATGTGGGAAATCCCTTGAAAAAATTCAAATATTTAAATAAAGAATTATGGATCATTCTATTATCATATAAATTATAATGATGAAAGGGCAAATTTACCACAATATCACTACGGCCAACCACGACTGCGCGCTTTCTTGAAATATTAATTCCTAATGTCGAGATACGTACAATAATTAACATAAACCAATAACAATTCATTATAAATGGTATATTCATACCAGTTTGATCCAATAATTCGATAATTGCTTTAGGTGTGCATGGTAAAAATATAGGATCGTCGTGTCTTTTAACCAATCTTCCGATATTATTTGTATGAAATCTATCGTGATTTAATAAAGCTAATCAATAAAATCAAAGTCTATACTATGTAAAAACAAGTATGTAAAAGGTGTAAGATTGGATTACCCATCAACATCTTTTTTTGGATCAATAGATTCAATAACACATCTTTCATCAATATGTTCCGGTAAAGGAAGCTGAACCAACACTCCATGAATCGATGGATCTTGGTTTAGCTCACGAACCAATTTCGAGAGCTGTTTGTGATAACTTTATATTAGTGCGTAATAATTAGGCAGAAAGAAACTAGAGAGTTATATAATAAATTAGCACCTCATTCGCGGTAATTGACTCGTCCCTTTTTTGTAAAATAAAATCAATTCCAGCCTGAAAAAATATCACTCATTTATTGTACGTACTGTATATCGAACGACGATCATCGATCACGTGGATTATATTGTACTTACGTACCTCTCTGGCGGCTTGTTCTTTCTGTTTCACATATGCTACAGAATCTTCCCTATTTCCAACCTGAACAATCGCAAGTCGAGGCTTAAAGCTAAGGTACTTTCTTTTCAATTGATAAACTTCATCGGATATTTTTTCTCGAATGGACCTAAGTTATGTTTTAGTCAGATTCGTATTGAAAAACAAAAGTTCTATTCAGTATATTCAATTACGACAATTTATGATATTCGTTATATTTACTTTGCGATAACCTTTCCATCTATTATTTTCGCTGCATTCTTGTATTGATGTAAGAACTTTGGTGCTAACCTATTTATATTGATCACGGTGGCAACAATGAAAAAATTTTTTAATGATTAGAAATTTTCATGGAATCTGAATATATGCAATAAGAGGGCAACACATACAACTTTTTTTGAATTGACGTTTTAACTTCGATCAACATCATAACCCTGAGGTTTGATTTACTTGCATTTCCCAAGCACCACATCAAGTATAATGATCGATTACGTAATAATTATTCGATATAATTCTGTAATTAATATGGTATCCTCGGCCTTAAATCTACATAAAAAGTAGTTTAACAAAAAAAAAAAATGGCACTCCTTTATAAAATATAAAAATATCCACATTTGTTCATATTTTCAACAACAGAACTTGCCGTTTTGAATTTTACTGATGAAGTAGTAGCCACATGCCAGAAATGTGTGACAGGTTGATCGACATAATTAAAAAAAAATTTTCTACTTACCTATAAAACCTCAAAAAAAAAAATTCTACTCATAATTTTAGTATAAGTTTTGTCTAAATTCTCTAACTCTCAAGCTACAGTAATCCCAATATTAATATGTGCCGATGTTAATCAATTAGTCGTAATCTGTCACACATCTCGGTCTTGCGATATTCAGATTGTAAACTATTTAATCTACCAGATGTTAAGCAACGGTTCGGGACGGACTTTTTAGGGACAGTTCTGAACGGGCCTCAAACTAGCCTAGATAATCACATGGTATAAGTCGCGTAAATAAATTTGAATCTTGAATAACACTTTTAAATGGTGGTGATTTTTGAATTAGGTAGCCCTGCTTAAAATTACTAATCGAGTGATCAATAACATTATTAAGTACGTACTACAATTGATGAATAATAAATTTGGTCTTAATCTTCGCTCTAGTTTTTAATATAGTAAATTTTTAATTAAATAATCTTTTAAATAGCAGTATAAATTAAATTAGTTTTTTCAAGTGGTCTTGCTTTAAAATTCACTAATTGAGTGATTAATAAAATAATATTATTAAGACAATTTCTATTTGTACACTAGTGTATAAAACACAGGTACAAATCATATCTCAAAATTTTGCTTATAAAACCACTTTTGGGGTTTTAACAAAAAATAATCTATGCAAAATTTTAGTATAAAATGCCAAATAATATAAAATGCACCTATGGTGTTGTTGGTGTTAATATATTTTTAGGGTTAGAGTGCAATTTTAAAGATTTTTTTTTTTTATATATAATATATATAAGGCCATGCAAAATTAATTAATTGGTTTTCATAACCCGGCCGGGTTAAAATTTGAAAACTTCAAAAAAAAAATTTTTATATGTTTTACAGTAATAGCCGGCTGGTTTTGAAAAAATTTTTTATATAAATTTTATAAAATTTTATATATGAATTTAAAAAAAAAAAGCCGGCCGGCCGGCCGGGTCTATTTAAAGGTTTCATGTTATGAAAACCAATTAAATTTGTATGACCTAATGTATATTAGATATAAGGTTCTAATTTTAGTTTTTATAAGGTTTTGGGGGTCCTGAGCATTTTTACTTAGAATACCCAATCCTGTTTAAGAAATAGGAACCTATGGTGTTGAACACCTTATGGTGCAGAATAGTAGAGTTGTAAAATGCTCTATGAATGAATTTGTATTTTTTTACACAGATCTGCCAATTATTTAATTTTTTTTTTTGTTGTTAAGGTGAGGTCTTGCTCATATCTTTATTAGGTAATTTATATAAGTAATTACATAGAAACTATATAAAAACTAAGTTTGTATAATAAC